AATTTATTTACCTATAATATAGTAGTTTAAGTAATAATTCAAAAATTTGGCAACTCAAATATATATTGGACACTATTTACATGAAGTTCTTTGGACATTTGTTGTAGTTGTAAGACGGTCCTCATAGTAAAACGAATGTATACTATATTGAACTCATATCTATATTATACCTATATAAGATATATTCATATCTTTAGTACATGGGTCATTCTTATATATATCGGATATTTTATTGACCATGTACTCACCGAGTTGGTTGAAATATTTTTTTATGAGTTCCTTTCATAAAATAAGAAGATCCGTATCTCGGAAAAAAATTTTTAAATATTTTACTAGGAGATATGAACCCATTGGGTTTCGACAACTAGCATTGTCGACACATTTTCAAACGGACATATCTCAGATTTTCAACGACACTTCGTTAAACATTTATCACTGAAGCAGTAATGCGATTTCGGGATCATGGAATGGATTAATTTACAAGGCAATTCCTGATTTATAAATATTTCCGACATATAAAGATTGAATGTTTTTAGTAGTTGACGTTTTAAAGCTAAAAGGCGTTTTATGTGTGCTATATTAGACACGAAATTTTTTTATATTAATATTTTGTGAGGGAATCAATTTTTATGGGCATTCAGTGTGTGAGTAAATGTTTAAGTTCCTGATATATTTGGATAATATGTAAGTCTTTTTTAAATAACAACATTTTTTTGAACAGAACGTTTGAACCATTCGTATTAGGCAATACAATCGTGTCATATAAAGCTTTTAGATTACAGTTTTCTTATTCGATTTAATATAATTCAATAATTCAATTTAAGAAAAGATAATTGAAATCTAAGGTCAATAAAGCTTATGACAATTTTCAATAATGTTCAATAATTTATTGTTTTAATGACCAAAACTATTATTAATAATTTTAAGTAAATAAATATAAATAATGAACTTTTTTAAAAAATTAATTTTTAAGAAATTTTTATTATACATAACTATTTCGACTATTTTCTTTAGTTATCTTCAAAATACTTTAGATTAGTATTATCTAACAATTTGAAACACAATACATACAATAATATAAATACATGTAAATACATGTTACATGACTATCAATACAATGCAATACGTTTTACAAGTGTCAAATTGCCGAAAGCTTAGTACTAATTTCGAAGAAATCTGAATTATTATTTGACTACTAGCTCTGGAGTAGATCTGAGTGCTAAATTTGCTTAAGCCTCCTCAGCAGACTATATTTATTAGATAGATGGGTGTTTGCTTGCTGTTGTTATTGTTTTTGGTGCTTTAATCCAAACTTTTGTATTACTGGATCTACAGATTTGATCTTTAAGTCCCGACACTTCCGATGGAGTATTCCTATTGAACCACAGTGCGTGGAATCAATTGTGTTTTGGAATTTCTCTGCAGCCCCGACACTCCCGATTGTGTATTTCTAATGAATCATAAAGCGTGAAATAAATTTCGTTTTGGAATTTTTTTCAAGTCCCGACACTACCGATTGAGTATTTCTTATAAACCATGTAGCGTTGACTAAATTTTGTTTTGGAAATATTTTTAGATATTGTTCAATTTAATATTCTGATTAAAATAAATTATTTTATCTATGATGAGAAATATATTTCGAATAGTTAATGTGTTAATACTTCAAAAAATTCCATGTTTAAACTATTTTTTTAATTTTTATTTAAATGAATTTCTGAGTAGACCATACAACTATTTCGGAAACCGCCATATAAGCATCTTTAACTGTCTTTGGAAACATTTATTGGATTAATAGACTGTATTAAAAAGTTGGACTATAAGTGTCAGAAGCGGAACACTTTCGAATTTTATTCATGAAACGGCGTGTTAAAATATCTAACTTATAACTAATTAGCTAATTTAATATTAAAATTTCTTTTTCTTTTTCAATTTAAATTAAATTTAAATTTAAGTAAAATTTTCCAAAATAAAATAAAAGTTTTATCAAATAAAATATTAGCTTTTCTCTTAAAAAGAGCCGATTAGATTAAAAAACGACAGGCACAAGTATTTGCAAAACTTATTTGAATTTATTTGAGAGGAAATTAATTAAAATTTATTTCATTGCTTAAAGCACACATCCTTTAACGCCGTCAGCGGAATAAAACTCCTTAGAGAAAGCCCAACTTTAAAAATAGAATATCCTTTCCATTCCGTACGTTCGTACGTTCGTTCGTCGCCTTGTTTGCTCTTGGATTTCTATGGAGGAAATAGCAAACAATCCTGAGTAGTGTTCAGTGTCTATTTGAAAAATTGCCATTTTTATGGATTATTAATTGGGATTCCGTTTAATTAATGTATGGTGGTTTACATCGTATCTGCTGCAGTGGATTTTCGCTTTATTTGGCGTTTGTTTTGGCGTTTGTTTTCCCGCAAATTTAATGAAATTAATTCAGTTTTTGGCTCTTGTTTTGTTACAGCTCAACGCGGTGGCAAGTAGCTGAATTATTTTTATAGAATTTTATTTGTTTTAACAGTTTTTGGTTAAATTCTTTTAAAATTTTATTACATTTTACGTTTTATATTTTACGTTTTACGTTTTATTTGATTGTTTAATTTTCTGTTTCGTTTTATTGTGTTTTTCATGTTTGGTTATGCGCAGCGTTGCATAAAGTTTTAACGAAAATTTATTATCAATTTTTTCACAATATTCAATTTATTTTCACAGTCACCATTCACCATTCACCCTTCACCATCCACCATCTACCATTCACCAGTTACCATTCACCAGTTGCCAGTTGCCAGTAACCATTTACCACGAACTGGAAACGTTCTGTTTGGTTCGGTCAGAGAATGGTCGACAAATAAATGCGCATTAAAAAGTGTTGGAACCGAAAATGTCATGATACATTTTTTCAATCATTTGTGTTTTTTATCCATTGCCGGGCTCGTCCTTTTGTTCCACATCATCCTTTCGCTGCAATTCACAGGTTTAACCGTGCAAAATAAGGTTCAATGTATTTGATTATAAAAATAAACTGAAACTTGTTTGCATCAATCAAAACGAAAAATTTAATATTTACCCCATTTAATTAATAATATTATTTTATTGGTTATTTGTTTTAGTGAAAACAAACTGTGTACACACGAAAATACATATTTGTTTACTGTAATTGTGTGGAGTGCACTGTTTTTCAATGGACACGTAGTTCTCGCCGTTTTAATTAATTTATTTGCTAGTTGCTTAAATGTCAATAGAATAATAACAAAAACAATAAAATAATATAATAATAATAAAATAATAATAATAAAAAATAATTATGTTAACCATATCACTTGATTGCAGTGGTTAAACAAGTGATACTTTTACGCTTCACATAGTTAATGATTGCTCTATATTTTTTAATGTCACATTCTAGTCTTTAATCCTAGCCTATATATCTCACATTATACATATTGGTCAGATAAGTGAACCTTTTAAGTGCTGGTCGGGATTAAAACAAGGGTGCACGCTGTCTCCATTATGATTCACTATAAGACTTGATGCAATAATGCGAAGAGAAACATCCGTGGGAAGAGGTGTAACATGGAGACTTAATCAAGTTCTAGAAGACTTGGACTACATCGACGACATTGCACTCCTCATGGAGGCTTAATCAAATTCTAGAAGACTTGGATTACATTGTCGACATCACATTCCTCAACTGCTCCTCAGATCACATGTAACATGTGTTTAATCATCTTGTAACTGAAGCCACAAAAATTGAACTAGATATAAACAAAAACAAGACCAAGGCGCTAGCCTTTACTAATATACAATCACTGAGAACGTGAATAAATTTTACTATCTAGGAAGCATAATTGACAAAGATGGTGGCGCCTTATACGATGCCGACAACAGAATCGGCAAAGCCAGAATTGTTTTCTCTAACTTGTAAAATCTTGTAACTATGTAAAATCGATATTATTTCATGCCTCAGAAACTTGACTTGTCAGAAGTAACAACAAACGTATAAATTATAGAGCTATAATAACCGATGCCTTCGGAACATCCTGAAAATATGGTGGCGAAGCACCATCTTAAATGAAGAGTTTTTACGCATAACTGAGCAAGTGGGTGTTAATATGCAAATCAAGAGATGCAAATTCAACTCGCTAGGACATACTTTAAGAAAGAACTACGATGAAATATGAGTGGAACTCCAAAAGAGTGGAAAAGTGGAACTCCAAAGAAACCAGGAGGAGGGGCCGGTTAGAAGTGATCTAAAGACAAACCATATAGACCGAAACTGATAAAACCTTCAACGAACTACGGAATTTAACAAGATAGAGGGACAACTGTAGATTCGATGTAAATCGTCTATGTTCCTGATGGAATATGACTTATACATATTTAAAATACTAATCATTGGTTTCTATACATATCGTCAATCTTTCAGTTTATATATTATAAGAACACTTTGCCGGAAGAACTGCTTACCTTTTGCGATAAACCATTTGTCAAGCCATTGTTTAAGTTCCTCGACTTTGCTGAGATGCTGAGACCAAGTGCTTTATAGACGCGAGGAGGTAATAGTCAGTTGGCATCAGGGCAGGGTAGTGCGGAATGATGTCCTATCCAAATAATTACAAGGTGTCACTCACTGATTTAACTGTGTAAGACGTTTCATTGTCATGAAAGAAAATTTCATTTTCCATATCTTCTCATCTGTTCTGGTTGTCTTTCAATCAATAAGTGACTTAAAAAAATTATTTGTTGGCGATAGCCTATTTATGATTTCGCTGGGCTTCAAGAGTTTATAATAAACAGCACCGCCTTGGTATTCGCTTAATCGTCTAATACCTATTCTTCCTCAAATGAAAGTTACAATTTTTTCCGCTTCAGGTTTCCAAAATTAATCGTTCGAAATATATAATATAAATGTACTAATCGAAGTACACGTAGAAAAAATTTTTATTTCTGATTTATAAAATATTTTGAAATATAAATTTTTTTTTTATTATTAACTATTAACTTTTTTACGTACAGCACTGTTGCAAGAATTTTTAGCAATGGAATTTAAAATTTATTTTTGAAATGTAATTATTTATTTTTGGACTTGATTTGGAAACTGCTAAATTTTATTTCGGGAATAAAAAATAATTTGCAATGGCTACCTATTGCAAACGTCGAAAACCAGGAACCTGTAAGCGCTTGACAAAGTATTCCAGAACAAATGTGGACAAGATGATGAGTGCAAAAGTGTGTTGCCAAAATTGCGGCAGGGAACTTGGTGGTAATGAGAAGGAAACCAAGGTCGATGACTTAAACTCCAAAAACGGAAGTACTAATAGTACTGAAAAAATTAAAAAAAATTCTGTAAATTTGGAAAAAAGCAATTTATATACACCAACAATGAATTCCATCAGCGGAGATATGGATGATATGACTGATGCAGCATATAACGCAAAATTACGTAAAAAAACTCGAAAAGATATAGAACTTGAACAACATTTTATTGCTAGATGTCAGGTAAAAGAATAATTTTAATTATTATTATTGCAAATTAATTTTTGCTCTTTCTAATCATTAATATAATAGATGACCAAGAGACTCAATTTTTGTCGTCACCAAGTAGTTTTCAAGAATCTTATTCCTTTAGACGTTGATGAAGCCATTGAATATATGAAGAAAAATCCTAAACTATTTCCAAAAACCAAAGATAATAGTAAACCAATGTGGAGATGGTAGGAAGAAATCCTGTACACATTTGATGATTTTTGTTTGTTGACCTCAAAAAAATTTGTTGTTTGCAGGACAACATGTGCATTATATACACATATATATGCATTATACAAATTATGACGAGCCTTCATGACATTATTATTCCTGAAATAAAAAAAAAATTTTTCAGTGCTGTATATGTATATGTATATGTACTTACTTACTTACTTATTTGAACATAACAATCCATTACCAGGTTTAGACCTAACGCAGCATGTCTCTGCAGGCATCTCTGCTGCGAGATAGGGACACGTCTTCTCGTCTCGTATATGAAGTACAGTTGGTGCTCGTTCAACTTGATCATTCCAATGGGCCTTTATCCAATATATCTTCTATTGTTTTACGAATGCCTATTTGATTTGCATGCTTTGCGAATTACAGTATTACGATTAATACATCCTATTTATTATGTTTTTATTCAGAAAGAAGTTACAAGAATGAATACGTAGTCATTCTTATATTGAATATCGAGTTTGGAGTTATGGACTACAGGTTTTCCTATTGCGTCTTTCTATGAAAGGTTTGAGCATTAAAACTGTGAGAGATCGTCTGCTCCAAGTGACAATGTGTACACTTTGCAAGCCTTTTCAACAGGTTTTATGATTATCCGTTAGCTCTTGTATTTGACCTATGTTTGGTTCTCAAAATTAAGTGGGTTTAGAATGTTAATATTGTCATGTATGCGCATAATAGCTTATTGTGATCCAATTTCTCTTAAAGCGATCTAATCCATTCGTTTTCCATTCGTGCAGACATTGGTTCGACTGCTCCTAAATAATATAATAAGTATATCATAAACTTTATATTATCGTACTTTGAATTCATTATGTCTACAAATCTGGCTTAAGTATAATTAGTTTAAATGCCGACTAATGATAACACAAGTAATATTTTAGAAAATTATATTATTATGCTTAGTTCTCTGTTTTTACTCTATAATACATATTTTTGATTTTTGAAAATTGCCAAATCTTGCACACATTTGCATAATTGAATTAAATTTTCAAACTTTTGAACCCTTGTATATCCGAATAAAATACTTGAAGCCTTTCAACATCTTGATGGTGAAACCTCTACACGCTTGTTGGGGCCTGAGAGGGAGGAACTAAATTATTTGTTGTGTGATTAACTATACTTATCCATATCAACTCTTTAGTTTATGGGTTTCCTATTCTATAATTAATTCTACATTTAATACAACATTAAAGTTGGTTGAATGTTTATGTGTCAGGGCATAATCCAATGTCTAACGTCGAGCCTTTTCCGAGTTAGTGCATCTGGGCACTTTTACTCTTTAATAGCTGTGGGGTTTCTGTAGAGTCCCACTCATCTCACTGACTAATTTGTGTATTCCTCATAAACTTCTTGATTATTCGTAACTGATCTAAGATCTAAGATATGTGCCGCCCCGTTGGTTAGTGATGAGTCTGTTGGTTCTCTAAAAGCCTTAACTTTCTACCCAAAATGATCAATTTTTTAGTATCAAAATAGTTTCATTAGCTATTATATGAGAATTTGATCATCCTTTCACTTCAACTTTCTACTAACTGCGTAAGTAACCTCAATAGAAATAAAAATATGATTTTTAAATACGTGTACATATTTTTTCAATATCATAAGTAAGTTAATATCATCTTGGTTTATTCTCAACTTGTGTTCAAAACATTGAATAATGTAAATGTTTATTATCCACTGAATGCATAAAATTATGGCAAAAAGAAAAAGGATAATAAAATCATCTGCAACTTTATTTGGAAAACATGTTTAATAAAATTTCATTGCTACTGAAACTATTTGAGAGAAGGAAATAACACTGAAATGTACCCACTTTGGCAACATCTTGGTTTTAAGAGCCAAAGATAAACGTTTTACTATTCTTAAAGACCCCACAACATGTAAAAATCATAAAAAGTGCTGAATTAAAACATAAATGCTTTACAAATGCTGATATCCTTTTAAGGACTTTGTGCATATTAAAATGTCGCATTAAATAAAATGTTTGCAAATGTTTCTGTTCAAACATGTAAGAATGTTGCTATGATACTGTTTTGTGGAGAAATTGCTTCATATTATTTTCTACATATGTGAAATGATACTCAAGTTACTGTTGATGACATAAACACATGTCTGCAAGGATGCGATATATCCTTTTGTTAAGCCATCAACTCAAGTATTTGCCTCACTGAGAGACTTTCACTTAATATTTGCGTAAAATACTTCTTCGTGTAGATCTTTAAAAAATGTATAAAATAAATGTTATCTTTTCAGAATTGTAGTACGTAATTGATACATTTTAACTTCAGCGAATGTTCCAGGATTTTAGCATTTATTTTTTTCAGGCACAAGAATGAAAAAGATTTTTATGTAGAAATTTCTAACAAAGTTATTGTTAAATGTGTTAGTATCAATTGCAATAATATATACAGAAGTATTCTTTACTAAATTAAAAAAAAAACAATTTTCAGTAACTATTGATAATGTATTATAGGATATGGACGACCCAGGTTCGAAGAGATACTCGTCAACAAGTCTACATTATTAGTAACATTTTTCTATATTTTTCTTGTTTTTTGATATAAATTTTTTACTACGAAATATTATTATTAATTTTATATAGAAGAATTCTAAACTTAACAACCAGCTGAAGAAAAATATGTGTATAAATCTATTCTAATAAAATATCCTCTATCATTTTATAGAAAAAAATGATGTGTTTAGAAATGACAATACTTGAAATCGTGTGTTCATTATAACTTGAAAAACCATTGTTGTTACTATCAACTATTTTGACAACAATTACTGCTTATACCTTGACAGCTAGAAACTAGTTTTAAGAAAAGTATTTCATAGACTTCATAAGAGTTTGAGGCGCTACACCATGCATTTCAGCTTATTTAATTGAAGTACTGCAATTAACAATACTTTGGAATTAGGAATTAGTTCGAATACTTATTTATCGAATACTTAGGAATTAGTTTTCAAGAATATAGAATGAATTTTCAAGGATCCAAATAGAAACACTTTACTAGAGTACAACGGATCTATTGAGGTTAAATTACTTCCTTCCTTTTAATAATATTAATAATAGTACAACTTTATAATATTAATAAAAAAGCAAATATCCTTGCGTCATCTTTTATTTTTAATTTTAATTTTTTATTTTAATTTATTTAGTTTATTTTAAAATCATTTTTTAAACCTAATGAAAGTCAAGTTGTCAATTTATCTATTAAACTTAATATAAAAATCAGCTTATTTAATAATTAAATCCGTACTTAAATCCGTCTAACTAATTGCTTCAACTGATTTGCAATTTTATCTTAGCTTATCAAGATATTAAATTAATTCTGATGCGTCATAAGCTAAGCTTAAATAACTGAAACTATGAAAACATTAATTAATAAAATTAAATTCAATTAAGTAAATGATTTTAATACCAGTTATGACGACAGTGACTATTTTATTTAATAGAAACTATTATGTTTCATAGGGAGGTGACGAACAGTAGTGAATCACAACAACAAAATTTTTATTTATTTTTTAAAAATTAAATATTTGACTAACTCTTTCAAATATTGTAAAATACCCATCATCTGTGGTTTTTTTCGAAACTATTTCTTGTATTTAATTTTTCAAAAATAATTTTTTGAGACTGTAATTACCAAGGGTTTACCTCATGTCCTAACAAATTTGAAGTTCAGTGTCAGTGTTCATAAATCTTAACAAAGTCTTAAAAAAATTACTTACGAATAATTGAATATAAGAAGTTATTTCAAAAAGACCACTGATGATGGGTGCTTGATAATACGTGAAACAGTTGCCCGCCAAAAATTCAACTAATTAAACATTAATAAAAATTTGTTGTTGCAGTTCACTATAATTCAAAACCTCTCTATTAATTAATTAAGAAATGCAAATGATATTTTGACGAATTTCAGTACATATAGGTTTTTAAAAGAGACCAAAATAATTTCATGGAACAACTTAAATAGATTTTACTTCATGTTTAGCATATAACTGAATACGTTAAACTTTTAATATATATAGTTGAATATATAGTTCAAATCTGTCATTGTAATTTATATACCATATTGTTGAATAAGCATGACTTACTTACTGTTTACAAAACTGCTGTTAGAGCATAGGACCTCTTGACATGTCCTAACTAGCTAAGAAATTACTCTAGAAACTTGCCAATCCTTAAATCCTTCCTACATGTTTTCTATAATTTTGCTTACTGAAGTTAATAGGTTATTCATTTTGATTTAAGAAAAAATTATACTTTCTCCAATTATTTTAATGACATACTTTATAAATTTTAATCAGCATACATTATTAAAGTTATATCCTCGCAATTCCATGGTATCAATAAATTTTAAGTTTAATTGCACTTAAGGGTTTCTGAAGATTTTAATAGAATATGCCACATAAAATTTTTCCAAAGTAAATGAAAAAATCTGCAATATGAATGTATATATAAAATACTATTAAAGCCATTTCGCTCCGATATATTTCAATAAAAAAAAAAAAGTTTTTTTAACCATTTTATGTATTGTTCAATTTTATTTTATCTGCATTACTCAATATTATACAAATTAAGGATTAAAAAAACCTGATACAGAACAGTGAAATTAAATTAAAACGCCCACTATTAAAATGAATAGTAGCAGTAAAATAATAACAATAATAATAAAAAAAAGTTTAATCCAAATAGTTGTTACCTTTTTAACAGTTTTCCACATACAAATTTGTATTTTTACAATGCCATTTTTTTATTACAAGAATTCCAATAATGGTGGCAACACCAACAAAATACATACGAGCAAAATAATTGCAAATACAATTTTATTCCATGAAACGCTACCGCACATTTTGTCCTTTGATTGTGGGCACTTATTGCCCCGGCCTGGATTCAGCCATTAAATTTTAGTGATACGCACGCACATATACGCCTGAGTTCTATATGGACAACATTGTTAGTTGATGATGTACAACAATTTCTCACTCCTCACGTGCTAGTCACATTTTTTATGTACTTTTACGCATTCAGGCATATCCTTCAATCAATGAAAGCGAAATGTTCGACATGGTTGTGATCCGAAAGGATATGCTTGTACATT